GCCGGCCGGGCCGCACCGCTGCGGGCTCCGCGCGCGCGGGCCATGTCCGCCTTCTGCCTGGGCTTGGCCGGCCGCGCTTCAGCACCCGCCGAGCCGGACAGCGCCTGCTGCATGGAGCTGCCCGCCGCGGTCGCGGACGCAGTCGGGAGTCCAGCCGCCACTGCCCTCGTCTCCTTCCCCGGGGGCCCCGGGGAGCTGGAACTGGCGTTAGAGGAGGAGCTGGCGCTGCTGGCGGCCGGGGAACGGCCGTCCGACCCCGGGGAGCATTCTCAGGCCGAGGTCGGGCCTCTGGCCGAGGGGTCCGGACTACAGCCGCCACCCGCCCAGGATCCCGAGCTGCTGTCGGTGATCCGGCAAAAGGAGAAGGATCTGGTGTTGGCGGCCCGGCTGGGCAAGGCGCTGCTCGAGAGGAACCAGGACATGAGCCGGCAGTACGAGCAGATGCACAAGGAGCTGACAGACAAGCTGGAGGTGAGGACGTCCCTCGTGGGATAGGTGGGAAGCACGGGGAGCCCGCCTGGCCCTGGGCAGCTTCGGGAGCCACTCACCACCCCACTCCTTCCGTGCTCACGCTGCCTCAACAGAAAACCACCTGAGGGGAGGGGTAGGCTGGAGGGTTTTCAGTTATCAGACCAGGGCAACATTGAATCCCTCTGACTTCAGCAGCAAATGGGTCCATGCACAGCCCCAGCCCCGCTGTGGGCCATTCTATATATGTATTGTACACTGCATCTAAAATAGAGCTTACAGTATGACTAATTTATACAGCGCTGAGGTGATGTCTGCACACAGAGAAATGAGAAAGTCGGGAAGCATTTAAAATATGCTCCAGGTTTTCAGAGTAGTTAATCTCTAATCAGGGTGTTAGCCTAAAGCCTTCCAGTTTTGGCGTTAAGGCCTCCAGATGCCCTTGTCTTAACTTACCGGCAGCTCAGAGTTGTGGGAAACAAGTGCCCCTGAAGGAGCTTTATATAGCCTTCAAATACGCAGGGATTAGGAAATGTGGCTCCATTGCAGAAACCAGGCAAGCCTGGGCTCAGCATGTGACTGTTGGTAGTGGATTTAATTTGGACCTCAGCATTTATGTGTATTTTGTATTTAAACAGTATGCTTCTGTGTTCGGGCCTCATGCATGCAATTCGATGGCCGCATGCAACCTAGGAGAACCATGTTACTTTAACTGTTATAAATATCTCTTAAAGTGTCTGTAAGATTTCTGCCAATTCTCTGGACCAGTCTTTCTCAGACCTATGCCTGTTTGTTTTCTTGCCCTTTACTGGAAAAGGGCCTTGAAAGTGGTATGGAATGCCAGCCTTTCTAAATTAAAGAGATTTTTTTTAAAGGGGGGGGCGCATCTGTGGCAGTGGAGAGGAGCTTCTTTTTGTTTGCCTGTGCATTTACTATTGTTACCCAGTTTGGTTGCAACCAGTTCTTTTTATTCTTAGTTACAAGAGAATAGTACAGTTCTGAATAAGGTCTGAAATTGACCCTAGTCGACTTCCATATCTCTGCTACTGGTTTAACAGAATGTAGATTCAGAAACTTTTCTGTAATAAGATTTAAGTGTGTTTGTAGTCTAGCGACATATCAAAAGTAAATCAGGGGGGAAAAAAGGAAACCAGTGAGTGCCCTTTAGTTCAGTTGGCCTGTTAACTAGGTCTGCCAGTCGATGAACCCCTGAGATACCTCTCTGAAAAGTGGTTTGTGAAACCTATAGGTAGACTGCCAAAAAAGCAACCCAATGAATTGAATTGTTTAATTTTCACTTGAAGTAGAGGTCTAGAAATAAAAGGGTGTCTTTTTTTAAAAATGGGATTCGGTTACATGACTCTATGTAAAAGTACTGCTGCAGAGATTTATACTTGTGATTTGAAATTCCTTCAGTGAGGGACTTGATTGAAGAGACAGCTAACTTGAAAGGAACATCGTATCAGTCAGTTTGATTACTGATAGATTTCAGAGTAATCCTGAGTGTGCAATTACACACATCCTGGGTTCCATGTGGAGCCTTTGTACATTTCTTCAACAAAAGAAAAAGATTTAAAAATTGTGTAACAAGAAAGGTTCTATTGTAAAAGAGTAAATTACCTTTGTTTGCTATTGACCAAATAGACAATAATAAATTATTTAAAGCTTTTAGTTTTTAAAATCTTCATTCCTCTGCAGGTTACCATATGAACTGTAGTGTTAAAAATTTATTCTAATTTCTGGAGGTTGTGGTTGCACCACAGCGTGAATGTACTTAACACTACTCAACTGTACACTTAAAAATGGTTACGATGGTAAATTTTATGTGATGTATACTTACATTTTTAAACGGTTTATTTTTAAAAGGCAAATACTGATCATTACTGAAGATGAGTATTGGAGGGTTTAGTTATACTATTTTTTCAAGGTATACTTGAAGATTATCATTAAAAATTTTGGGGTTTTTTAAAAAGTACATTTAAAAATATCTCATGAAGATATTGTCATTAGTTCCTTGTTAATTCTTTTAATTCTTGTTAATTGACTGAAACCTAATAGAGGACGATTTCATGTGATACCTGCAATGAATTTTCCTCACAGTATATTTTTTTAAGCAGCCTAGATTTTAGAATGTCTGCTTAGACAAAATACTGTCTTAAGTTTAACACCACCACTCTGCTATATTTTCAATTAAATTAAATATTTAAGAGTAGAGGACCTGCCCTTACAAAAAGCATTTGTAATTTTCCACAAACTGTCAGTGGAGTCAAACACATTTTCTCACAGGTTGGTTTGAAAGATTAACACAAGAGTGGACTCTGAGAGAATGTTGGCTTGACTGTTAAATAATGAGAGTGGTCTTGTTTTAGTCCCCTCTGTTCCCTTACTACTTCAAAATTGGCACATTTCTAACTTCAGGACCGACAAGCCATTGTCAAGATTTTTTTCTACCTATTCATTAGTTAATACTGAATAGATTTCCAGTTCTATGTGCCAAATCTAAGATTTTGTTTTGTCATTTAAAACATAAAGTCTTGGGGCGCCTGGGTGGCTCAGTTGGTTAAGCGACTGCCTTCGGCTCAGGTCATGATCCTGGAGTCCCGGGATCAGGTCCCGTATCGGGCTCCTTGCTCAGCAGGGAGTCTGCTTCTCCCTCTGACCCTCTTCCCTCTCGTGCTCTCTATCTCTCATTATCTCTCTCTCAGATAAATAAATAAAATCTTTTAAAAAAATAAAAAATTAAAAAATAAAACATAAAGTTGATTTTATTCTGCACTCTCATTTAAAGGCACATTCTTTAAAGTCTATAATGGTTTAAAGGTTAACAGAATTTTTTTTACCTGTATATCTCAGAGTAATCTCTGAAGATTAATTTAATTTGAAAGACTGGAAGATTTGGTCATTTTTTCCACCCTTAAATTGACTATATTGTATTTTATTCATTCACTGAATTACATTTTCATATGCTTAGAGTTCTAAAGTTATTTTTTTTAAAGATTTTATTTTATTTCTTTTTAAAGATTTACTTCTTCGAATGCCTGGGTGGCTCAGTCGGTTAAGCATCTGCCTCCAGTCCAGGTCATGATCCCAAGGTCCTGGGATCGAGTCTCACATCAGGCTCCTTGCTCCGCAGGGATCCTGCTTCTCCCTCTGCCTGCTGTTCCCTTGCTTGTGCTCTCTCTCTGACAGATAAATAAATAAAATCTTAAAAAAAAATAAAGATTTATTTATTTTAGGGAGAGAGAGAGAGAGAGCAGGGTGGGGGATGCAGAGGGAGAGAGAATTCTGAAGCAGACTCCCTGCTGAGCACAGAGCCAAATGTGGGGCTTGAACCCAGGACCCTGAGATGATGACTGAGCCGAAATCAAGAGTTACCAGCTTAACTGAGCTATCCAGGCGCCCCTTAAGATTTTATTTTTTAGGTAATCTCTATGTGCACTCTGGGTCTCAAACTCACAACCCAAGACCAGGAGTCCCATACTCCACCAGCTGAGCCAACCAGGCACCCCTAAACTTATTTTTTTAAAGATTTACTTATGTATTTTAGAGAGAATGTGGGGTTGGGGGGGCACAGGCAAGGGAGAGGGAGAGAGAATCCCAAGCAGACTCCCCGTTGAGCCTGGAGCCCTGTACAGGACTCCCATCATCTCAGGACCCTGAGATCAGACCCCAGTCAAAACCGAGGGTCCCACACTTAACTGACTGCAGCATCCAGGTGCCCCACTCCTAAAGTTATTTTTAAAAATTTATTTCTTCCAGGGGCGCCTGGGTGGCTCAGTTGGTTAAGCGACTGCCTTCGGCTCAGGTCATGATCCTGGAGTTCCGGGATCGAGTCCCACATCGGGCTCCTTGCTCAGCGGGGAGCCTGCTTCTCGCTTGACCGTCCCCCCGCCTCATGCTCCCTCTATCTCATTCTCTCTCTCAAATAAATAAATAAGATCTTAAAAAAAAATTTATTTCTTCTGGAGGTACCTGGGTGGCTCAGTCTATTGAGCGCTGGACTCTTGATCTCATCTCAGGTCTTCATCTCTGGGTGGTGGGTTCGGGCCCTATGACTTGGCTCCATGCTGGGGGTGGAGCCTACTTTAAAAAAATAATCTGCATCTACAGTGAGCCCTTTTGCTTTTATTATTTTTTTTTATTAAAGGATTTTATTTATTTGAGAGAGAGAGATAGTGAGAGAGCGCACAAGCCGGGAGAAGAGGGAGAAGCAGGCTCCCCACTGAGCAGGGAGCCTGATCAGGGGGCTCGATCCCAGGACCCTGAGATCATGACCTGAGCCAAAGGCAGAGACTTAACCACCTGAGCCACCTGGTCACCCCCGCCCTTTTGCTTTTATTTATTTATTTTTTATTTTTTATTTTTTTGCCCTTTTGCTTTTAATCTTATATCCAGCTAGGTCCTTAGTTTTTTTCCCAGAATATGAACTAAGATATTAACTTGCATTTATTTATATACTTTTTTCTTCAAAAATTAAATATTTAGTTTTTAAAAACATTTTTAACATATTTAAGATCCCCTTTTTTCCTATTCTAGCTTAGAGTGAATTTTTTCTTACTACAAAGGTAGTCTTTTCCCTCAATTACATTTTCTTCTCCCTTCCTTAGGCCAATTCTTAGGATTCTAGTACAGTTTTTTTAAAGGGCAGAACAAGTAAAGTGAAAATTATCACATAATGAGAGTCACTAGTAGATTTGGGGAGGCAAACCCAGAGGTCCTTATTTGTGTTCAGTGCTTGGTCCACTTAAAAATTAGTACTTTTTCATTGTATATCCTGGACTTAGGAGAATGGTGTTGCTTTTTTGATTCTTTGCAGAAATCCATTTTCTGTAACAACCAATTTTAGATGAGCTAATGATATTAACTCTTATTTTTTTCAGAGTTTTCAATAATAAACCTTATTTTTTTAAGAATGGTTTCAGATTTACAGAAAACATGGAAAGATGGTACAGTAAGTCTCCATATGCCAGGCACACAGTTTCCTCTGTTATTAACATATTATGGTACACTTGCCATAATGAAAAAAAATCAATATGGATACATTGTTAACTAAACTCCTCAGTTTATTCAGGTTTCCTTAGCCTTTACCTATTTTTTTTTCCTGTTCTAGGACCCCATCCTGAACACATTGCATTTAGTTTTCCTATCTTAATCTCCTCTTTGCAGTGCATTTTCTTAGACTTTTCTTGTTTTTGATGACCTTGACAGTTTTGATGTTAACTTTCCTTCTTTTGTTTATTGAGGTATAATTAACATATAATGTAACATTATTATTAGTTTCAGGGGTAGATATTAACTTTTAAAATAATACATAACATAAATATAACATATAAAATGAATAACGTACAACCCCGACCTCCATACTTCCTAATATGCTGCCTAGAGTTTACTGGTTAATTTCACTTAGTTGAAAATACAATTCTAGAAAACCTTTTTTTGAGTAAACAAAAGGTTAAATTCTGTATGTTCATTAATAGCAAAGTCTTGATTGATTTTTTTCAGTGTTCAGGGGAACCTGAATTAGGAAGTTTGTCACGTGATCAAAGAACTCTAAGGACCGAATAGACTGATGAGCACCACCTGTCTCAAACCCTCCCCCAACTCCAAGTGGATTGGATTGTTTTAGTTGCTTGGTTGGGCTGTTAACTAACAGCTGTTTGCTGAATATTTTTAAGTCTCTCTGTTCTTTTAGAACACAAGCCTAATTTATCTGGCCTCTCAGTAACACTGTGATTACTGAGTTCTTGCTGTTGCCTTCTGCTCAATCTTTTTCATTTTGGAAAAACTGAATAAAACCAAGTATCACAATTTTAGGATTGCAATTAGCATTTGTTTCTGCATTTCATCTTTCTGAAGTCTCTACAGTGACTAAAACATTTTCATTTTTGGAGTTTAGCAATGTTGAGGGAAGCGTAGAGCACAAAGTTCTCATGCTGATGAGTAGAAGTCCCTCCCTTGTCCTTCCTTTCCCTGCATGCTCCAAATTCAGGCTGTATAAAGTATAACTATAATGCGACTTTTTCAACAAATAGAGTGATTATATCCAAGTGAGTTATCTCCCAGAAGTGGTCAACTTGGGAGGCCATACATTTATTATAGTAAAAATTGCCTTTGCTGATGTGATCAAAATTTTCATTTCACTGGTTTCATCTTTTGGCACATTATTTTGACTGCTCAGTCTTGGTATATTTTCATCTTTTGGGGATAAATTCGACTTTAAGAAACATCAACAAGTCATTCAGAGCAAAAGAGGGGAATAAAATGACAGGATGAAATGGGGTGATCTCTTTTTTAGACTCTTATTAGATGTGAAGTAACGGGACTGATTTTTATTTTCGTGTATAAGTATACACTGGCCCTTAAGGCTTTCCAAAAGAAGCATTCCAAAAAATATTCAAAGAGTGAGAACTTGGATAGAATAAGAACGTAGCTTCCCAAGTAGAAAAGATGACTGACTACTCCTGAAGAAGATTCATATGCTCATCTTAGCTTGTTGAAACTTATCACTGTGCTTGATAGCAACCTTCAGTGCATCGGAATTTCCTGTAAAGCCAATATAGATGGGCAGATAGATGGATAGATAGATGCATGTCTAGGCTTCATCCCATTCTTAACTAATCACAGTCTTTGGGATTTGGGTCCAGGAGGGTGTATTTTCAACAATTATATCAGAGCTTTTCTGAGAGCCCCCCGAATTGAGGACCATTGCTTTAACTTCTTTTTAATATACTCCTTGGGGTATAGACTTTGCTTTCTTGTACATAATATGCTTTTCAAGTAGAGCATACTTGCCTCTGTAAAGAGACATCCGTATTTGTCTCACAGAAACAAAAAGATACTCTTATTTCCTTCAAAAGAATCCTTTTTTTTTGAGCTGCTACCTCAAGCCATCTGTATTTTTACTGCCTATCATTTGTCACACACAACTCCCTACTTTTATCAGTCTCTCCCACTAGAATGAAAGCTGCATAAAGGCAAGGACCATGTCTGTTTTACTTTTCAGTGTGTCCCCAGCACAGTGGCTGACCCATAGTAGGTACTTAAGAATGAATGGATGGGGGGGCACCTGGGTGGCTCAGTTGTTAAGTGTCTGCCTTCAGCTCAGGTCATGATCCCAGGGTTCTGGGGTCAAGCCCCGCATCGGGCACCCTGCTCTGCAGGAAGCCTGCTTCTCCCTCTCCCACTCCCCCTGCTTGTGTTCCCTCTCTCTCTGTGTCTCTCTCTGTCAAATACATAAATAAAATCTTAAAAAAAAAAAATGAATGGATGGATCAGAAATAAATGTGCAAGGCTAATAGGCCATGATTTAAAGTAGATCTGAAGCTGAACTTGCTTGTTATCAAAATATAATGCTTTATATTACAACAAATATTTATTGAATTGTGATTTAGAGCACTAACAGAGTCTGATGACTTAAACACAAATCCCAGCTCTACCATTTACTAGTATTGACCTTGAGCTTGTTACTTGACCTCTTATCTTCTGTTACCTCATTTGTAAAAAAAAAAAAAAAAGGTGGTTAATCTGAAGGATCTCTGGAGTTCTTTCCATCTCTGAAAATTCTTTGATTCTGAGTGCCTAGTATTATATCAAGCATAATAGATGATTCCAAAAGAAGCCTTAAGGACTTGTCTTAAGTTGTTTAAATGTATAGTTCACCAGTTAACTGGGTGACTTGCTGAATTTCAAGTGAATTCCTAAGTCCACAATCCCATTCTTAAAAAGACTAAACGTAGTAATATTAAGCATTTTAAATAGGAATGGCATTTTCTTTGTGAAGCCAAACTCCTTCCTTACTTTGCAAGAAAGGAATGTTTTTGTAGCTGTGAAATAGGCAACTTTTCCCATGTGGCAGAGTGTTTTGTTGTGCTGACTGGCTGGGAAAAAGAAAAGTTAGGAAAGTGTGATAAGAGAAAAAAGCAAAAGGCTGTGTATTTTGAACAGTTTTTAAATTCTCTCTGCTTCTCACCCAGCACTTAGAACAAGAGAAACACGAACTAAGAAGACGATTTGAGAACCGAGAAGGGGAATGGGAAGGGCGCGTGTCAGAGCTGGAGAGTGATGTGAAACAACTTCAGGATGAGTTGGAGAGGCAGCAGGTTCATCTACGGGAAGCAGATCGAGAAAAAACACGGGCTGTCCAGGAATTATCAGAACAGAACCAGAGGTTATTGGATCAACTCAGCAGAGTAAGTCACAAGTTAAGAATTTATGGTACAAAAATACTGAAAGTTGAAACCAGAGCTGCTGTGTGATGTCAGTCATACATATGGTAATAGGAGTTCTGATTTTTGTTGCCTTTGGTGTTGATATCGACAAGTTGAATATTTTTCACCTAATGAGAACTTTAGCTGTGTGAACTAGGAGTCAGGAGCCAAAATCCTTACCTGTCATTAGACTTTGAGACTTTGAAAACACCTAAATTGGGAGTTTTTTCGTTTATAAAATGAAAGAATTGTGCCTAATGATTTCTGACATTCCAGAAAGCTCTAAAAGTCTATGATTCCTTACCTAGAGAAAGTCTGTCATGAGTAAAATTATGTTAATGCATTTAGTTCAAATATTAAATGGTGCCATCCTTAAACTGAAAAGCTTAGGGAAAATTACTAGAGCTAAAGATTTTCATTGATGTTACATTTGTGAATGTACATTTCTTCATATTTAAATGTGAAAGGAGGTATATACAGATCTGTGTTTAAAACTTGTTCTTTTAATTTCTTTCTTTTTTTTTTTTTAAAGATTTAATTTATTTATTAGAGAGAGAGAAACAGCATGAGAGGGGAGAGGGTCAGAGGGAGAAGCAGGCTCCCAGCTGAGCGGGAGCCCGATGTGGGACTCGATCCCGGGACTCCAGGATCATGACCTGAGCCGAAGGCAGTCGTTTAACCAACTGAACCACCCAGGCGCCCCTGTTCTTTTTATTTCATATTAAGTAAAAATTCTTTACTTGTTACCTTTATAGGGTGGTGTCATGAAAGTATTAATTAACCAAGGTTAAGACTATGAAATCATTGTAAGTTTGAGTTTGAGGGCTGAATAGGTAGAAATCTAATTTAAATACAGAACATACCTTTTTAACAAATGCAGGAATGTTGTTAATGCCCTGGTCTTTAAATCCACCTACTTTGGAAAATTAAGAGCTGGATTTACTATGGTACCTCAGTCCTTCTTATGTGTTGAAAATAAAACTATTAATTCTTCAGTTATCAGAGGAAAAAAGAACTCGTAGTCTGATCTCATCCCATAGGTCATGCTTAGGTTTTTGGAAAAGGCTTAGCTAGAGCAGCACATGGTAAATTCTTGGCATTTCCGCTAATTCAGTGGGTAATACCATGTGAAGTTATTAGTTTGTCATAGTTGCTTCCCATGGGTACCTTTGTGCTTCACTAGGAAGTGTGAGGTAAATGCTCCCACTAGAGAAAGGGAGAAGAGGTAGGGGGGAGAATAAAGGTGGGAAGGAGGGGGAGGGAGACAGGGAAGGAAGAAGGAAGGGAAAAAAGAGATGCCTGATAACTTGGAAAATAGCTAATTGCAGGAAATATCAACTCATGTGAAAGATGAGAGTCCAGATGATAAGTAGAGCTAAAGATCTTGCCTGCAGGCTTCCCATCTAAGGGATTAAATCACCATTTGATTGGCTGGAAGGGAAGAGTTGGACAGTTCTTCAAGAAGTCATTTCAAGGCCAGTTCAGTAGCAACATTTCTGACTCTGTTCTAAAACCTTTTGCAATAACTGGGAAGGGATTTTGTAAGATTTTTTAGGTTTTGAGTCTTTATTCATTATTCATGAAAGATTAAACTAACTGGATACACCTAGCCAGATTTATTTATTTGTTCAACAGCATTGACTTAATACTTATTCTGAGCCAGTGTTTCTTATGGACATCTATGCAGGGAATACAGCAAACCAGAACAATTAAAGGGGAAATTATTTCTTGGGGGTAAGTTCATGTTACAAAATAATGTGAGTAGAAACAGACTCCACTCCGCTCTCTGATCTGGTGAAAGATAGGTGGCCAAGAGAGATGAAGGGAGAAAGCAAATAGTAACATGACATAGCAAAAGAGCAGAGAACTTGGAATTTACATGCATGTTGAATCTTGACTCTGTTTCTTGTTGACTGGATGGCCTTGTTTGTGCCTCACTTTCTTTACCTATAAAATGGGGATACAAATCCAAACCTTATACAAGTTTTGTTGAAACGAAAGTAAGATAATGTGTTTGTTATGCTGCAGTGTATGAATGTTGATGGGTTGTTTTAATAATAGTACTTCTATAGTTGAGGTTCCTTTGCCTAATTTCTCTGTAGAAAATCCTGATAAGCTGTTCCCAAAAGGATATAGGAGGTTAACATTTCCACTAGATCTAGATTCTTGTTATCCTTTCTGGCCTTGAATGTAGGCTCTTGGTGAGTTTTGTGGCTTTTTTCCCCTTTCTCTTTTTAAGTAGGACAAGCCCCTGGGGTTTCCATCAATAGCCAGTTTAGATTGTATTTTATCATTTTATTAACTGGGTATTCAGGAACTAGAGGAGTTGAGTACTTTGAAGTGAATTAAGATTCCCCTTGGATAAGAAAACCAGCAGAAGTAGTAGAAGGCCAGGCTTTTTTATGATGTATGTAACATGCCTTTATAAGCATGAAATGTATAATATCTAAAGTGTAGTACAATATTTCTGTGATGCTTTTGTCCAAAGTATTTTTTTTTTTAAAGATTTTATTTATTTATTTGACAGAAAGAGACACAGTGAGAGAGGGAACACAAGCAGGGGGAGTGGGAGAGGGAGAAGCAGGCTTCCCGCGGAGCAGGAGCCCGATACGGGGCTCGATCCCAGGACCCCGGGACCATGACCTGAGCTGAAGGCAGACGCTTAATGACTGAGCCACCCAGGCGCCCCCCCAAAGTATTTTTTTAAGCTTATTTTTTTTAGTAATCTCTATACCCAATGCAGGGCTCAAACTCATGACCTCAAGATCAAGACCTGCATGCTCTTCAGACTGAGCCAGCCAAGTACCCTCAAAGTATTTTTATTTCTTTCGCCACAATGGCCTCCAGGTTTTGTTTGTTTTTTTTAAGTACAGCTCTATTGAGATATAATGCACATACCATAACATTTACTTTTTAAAGGTATAAAATTCACTGGGTTTTAGTATATTCAGAGTTGTGCAACCATCACCACTATTTAATTATAGAACATTTCACCGCCCCCAAAGAAAGAAATCCTATACCCATTAGTAGTCACTGTCCATTCCTCCTAACCCCCTACCCCATGCCCTGACCCCTGGTAACACTCATCTGCTTTCTGTTTCTATGGATTTGCCTGTTCTGGACATTTCATATAAATGAAATCATACATATGTGACTCTTTGTGCCTGGCTTCTTTCCCTTAGCATGATGTTTCAAGGTTCATCTGCATTGTAGCATATATCAATACCTTATTTTTACAGCTGAAGAATATTCCATTCTTGGCTATAACACAGTTTGCTTATTCATTAGTTGATGGACATTTGGGTTGTTTCCACTTTTTGGCTATTAGGAATAAGGTTACCATAAACATTCATTACAAGTTTTTATGTGACCAGGCTTCTTTTTAGCTCTAAAATAGGATGCTGTGGGCATATATAACCCATGAGCTTCTGGATCCTCATTATCATGAAGGAAGAGATAGGTATTCCAGTTTTGTAGCTGGGAAAACTTGAGGGACAGAAAGACACATGGCTTGTTTAAGGCTTTTCTAATTTAAGACTTACGGTTCCTGTGCCTCAGTTTCAGATTTCTGAGGCAGCAATTAAGGTCATAGGTTTTGGAGCCAGACAGCCCTGGGCCAGACACCAGCTCTGCTATTTACTAGCTGGGTGAACATGGGAAAGTTTTTCACCTTTTTTAAGCTTAGTTTCCTCCTTTGTAAAATAGAAACAAACAACTATTACTGTTACCTGATAGTGTTAGGAGGACTAAATGAGATAATATATGTAAAACTCTAACCACAGTGCCTAGCATATTGTAAGTGCTCAGTAAATGGTAGCCATGATTTATAATTATCATGTCTTCACCTAGAGGGGATTTCTGCATCTAGTCAAACATTGGAATTCTAACCTGATGGCAGAAGAATCTGAAGTGTCCCCAGCATATATTAGTGCCTGAAAATGTTTTGTCTTGCAGTTAAATCTCTATTCAGAAATATTTGAATAAAAATGATCCTTCTAGGAATTGAGTCAGGTTCATTCTATGGCATCTCGTATCCCCTAGACACTGCTTCATATACTCTGGGGATACTGTTATTCGAGTTTATTTGTTCATTTGGACAAAATGCCCTCTAAATTCTCTTCTAGCTTCTAAAATTCTGTGAGTTTCATTTTTGTGAAACTCAGGCTGATATATTTGGAGAAAGTGTAGTTCACTTTCTGAGTTAGAAAGTAACACCATGATGACATTGACAGTGGGTTTTTGTTTTGGTTTTTTGGTTTTTTTTAGATTTTATTTATTTGTTAGAAAGAGCACAAGCAGGAGGAGAGGCAGGCAGAGGGAGAAGCAGACTCCCGGCTGAGCAAGGAGCCCAATGCAGAACTCGATCCCAGGACCCTGGGATCATGACCTGAGCCGAAGGCAGATGCTTAACTGACTGAGCCACCCAGGCATCCCTACAGTGGGGTTTAATAGGGCATGCTAGACACTTATCATCCTATCTCAAAAGTAGAAAGAATACAGTGGGCCTTGCTTTCAGGAAGAGAAGAGGAGAGACATGGGCCATGCTTGTCACCTAAGAAGAGTATTTTCATGTAAAACTTAAAATGGAGGTTTTTTGAGATTCCCTCTGATACATACCTAATACAGTAATTTTCACTAGCATTACAGCAGAATCCTCCAGAGCCCCCAGATGATTTTCTCCCCAACAGCAGCAGCAAAGATAACAGAGTATTTTGATCAGTGTTAAAGTGTTCTAAAGTGATCATTCACTAATTTAACCTGCTACAGCTTATACCACAGTTTAGGCACTGTGGAAAGTTCTTATAGTTTGTGTGTAGGGCAGCAAGTCAAAATAGTGATTTGAACAGTATAGAAACAGTCTTGTTCATAATAATAATAATGTCAGTAATAACAAGCTTCTTTAGCCTTTTCAGCCTACAGAAGCAGTTGACATAAGATATTTTCAAAATGAATCTCAGTAGTAGTAGAAACTTCAGTAAGAG